TTAATGAATAACCTCAGGAAACCCTTTGAGTGCCTAGGCTGACTAGAATTAAATTCGGTACCGGGATTATAATGGCTTACATGATGCTGAAATCTTACAACCTAATCTGAGTCCTAATTTTTTTTCAAAGAACAAACTGGATATATCGAGCTAACAGACAAAAGTAACGAGGGACCTAATTACACACGCAGATTATGCAGGTTCCTCGTTTCAGATTGTCGGTTACAAATTGTTCTGTCTTTCTCAATACCACAGAGTATTCAACATATTATTTTTAGAATTCCAAAATATCGATGTGTGCGACAGTTCCGGCTACGAGTCCGTCAGTTTATTTGTTTCCCTCTGTGTGCCTCACGTACTGTCTGTCTGTTGGACTGTATGCCTGTTTGATACTGTTGTTCAGAAAAAAATTTGGGAAAATGCCACATTTATCGGGCTTTTTGAGTCGCAGCTGTTGGATTGACTGTTACAGTCAACCGACGTCAGGAAAGGAGCCAGATTCCATTAGTTGAATCGAACCGGCCGATCACATTGCATCAGGGTTTACCAGAAACGATTGATCCCGACATCACAATATAGTTTGATCGCCAAACAAGGCTACAGAAGTCACACATGGGAAGAAGAAGTTTGTAAAAAATCTTTTCAATGTGGTGTACAGCGTGGATGAATTCCAGTCCAGCCAAGCAGAACTCAGACCCGACTGAATCCCGTCTAAATCCCATAATTAAATGTAAATAGAGTCGTCGGGTAACGTTTGTTTCCTACATGTTACAAATGTTCGATTATTTCAGAGAAAATAAATGTCTGAGAGCTCACTAGAATGCGTTAGGTTAGTAGCAATCCTGTGCGTACACGGTGGCTTTGTGCGGAGTGGGTTTCACTAGTTCAGAAAAAGAAAAAAAATCCACAGGCTACTTAAGTCTCCATGTGAGAGAGTCACTGGAGGAGCTTGCCAGCATCATCTGATTCACTGGTTCCACTTGTCTCGGAGTTTCGTGGCGTGGGCACTGCCGATTATTTTCTACACGGATATAACAGGTACACGTTATTGTTCAACTCAGCTGACTACAATTTCAGGATGAAATCCCCGTTGTTGTGGGGTATTTCCACAACGTGTAGTCCCGGCACTAGTTTTTTGTCTTGGATTAATACACCTGGTACGTTTACACAAAAGAAGGAAACGTCAGACTGTGGTCATGGAGGATGATGGTCTTGTTGAAGATGAGCAGCCTACTTTGCCCAGCATGCCTCTCTCTGCCATGTCAATACTGCTAAAATCGCCAAGTCTCTGAATAGTTCTCCGAGCCTAATGGATCCTTATCAGAGCCAGGGTACTAACCAATCAAGACACACTTTGATTTCTGGGAAGAATTCATACTTAAAGTGCAGTGTTTTGTTCCGAACGCAATAGGAAGACTCATGATCCTTCGAAACCAGGTCTCAACAATGTATAAGCAACACAGACAGAGTTTACGACAGCCAATGAGTCGGTCGTTGGCTGGAAAATGCACCAAAGGTAGACTGAGGAGACTTATGGGATTAACATTGCTTTATACACTTAAGGGATCAGGTCAACAGAGAGGGAGCAGCGTGAAACCGAAAAACACGAACAAGACCAATTCGGTGAGCAGACACAACTATTTTCACTTATTCCTTCCCCAACATCTCAGTAGATATAATTTCTTGTGGTCGTCTCATAGTGAGCGATCAATACTGAATCACATTCTTTTGGTTTGAAAAAAATGATGAGGATAAAGATAGTGCTGTGGTTGTGCTGCAGTTATAGAAGATATAGAATAAGGACAACCAGTGAGTGCAAACTACGCAACCTCGACTCTGGGATACCTGCTATCCGAGACTTTCTCTCTTTGTAAGCAAACTTAGTGAATAGGCAACAAAAATGGAGAAGAACGTTCATCATAGCCGTCGTTCGTGCGAAAACTGGATCTCTTTGACTAGTAAAACTGGATTGTTTGTCATGACATATACGGGATAACTGGAGTTGAATTGCGCATCAGTTGATCATACAGTGTTATTGGGGGACTTGGAATTTTTTAACGCAAATAAGACTGGTCAGTTTCGGAGATGTGATACTTTAAACATTAAACTTTAATGTCCCTGACTTAGTGAGTGCCCATTTTTCAGCCATGCAGGAGATGACAGCAGTGTTTCGACCGTTGTAATGCAACGGGAGAGATATGGTACGATTCAACGGGAAAAAATGTACGATTTGCTGCAAAGATTGCTATTTTATTAAAGTATTTGGTTTCAAGGTGCAGTTAAAGACAGCAATCTTGGGAGTAGTCAACTTGTTTGGTGTTTTTGACAGCAAGATACATGATGGAAACTCGGGTACGTAAACAAATACCACCAAGTGCATACATTAGAGGCAGATTGTTGTGCCATCATATGTTTATTGTTTTATCTTCATAGTTCTCCGTTCAAAACATTCTATCTGAGGGCACAACTTCTTTCTCTGTGTTCGAAATTGTTTGTTTAACCCACACAGGAGTTTTGGTTGGAATGGATGACGTAAACTTTGTACAACACCGGAGAAACTCAGTGGGATCGATGGAAATGCTCAATAACAAGGCTGTCTACTGTCTGATTTAGTGCACGCCAATCCATCAGTAGGTGAAATTTGAGTAGATGGACGGTCTTTTTTTACAAAAATAAAGAGGTTGCCGACTCTGTTTGTATTGAACTGAGGAATAAGGGTATAGCAACTTGTCGGGTCGCACCAGCAGGAAGAAATTCGACTGTGGTAGAAACCCTCAAGGGTCTTCCATGTAGAGTCGTTAATAGCACCACCGAATTCGAGGTAAATGACTATCCTATTCGGACTTGAATAACGATAGCTTAAACCATATAGTCCCAAATTGTAAGAAGAACCTAATTCAAACTACAATAAGATACAATATTAAAGAAACAATCGAGAATCACTGCCAGGCAGGTCGGGAGTATATGCTACATATACCTAGAAAGAGAGGTGGATAGCTGCATGTTGATAGGTAGGTGCGCATATAGTGACAGAACGCTGTACGCAGATAACTACTTACAGGAGTTATTGTAATGCAGATATTTCCAAGCTGGTATTGTGAACTATTTTACTCTGCAAAGACACTTACGACTGCTCCGCTCTCATTCGACAGTAACTAATAACATGGTCCAATATATTGTGCCTGTCATTAAGATTCTGGATTTGACGTAGCATGACGGCTTTTGCGACTCCATAGTCCGTCCAGCTATACTTGGGATTGTATCTGTGACTCTCACAGAACCTCTTAAACCAGGTTAGTTAATGCATGGAGGTCTGACTCATACAGTCTCCTGGCCTTCCAGAGGTTGGAATATGTGATGTGACTTGCTCGTTAAAAGTGTAGGATGTTCTGACGGTCTTATGCTAAACAAGGGTGTCTTATGGTTAGGAGCCGAACCCTCTGGCCGAGGACTCTACTTGGTTTCTTGTCTTGGTTTAGTATATGTATGAAGTATATGTGTCCGTTTACGACCATGACAACTACGACTAACAATACTATCATGCGATATTGGCCATCGCATGATGCCGTCAGCGGAATCGCCTCACTTGCTGCATACAGCAGGGCAAATAAGCAAAACAAGCTAATTCTGAAGCCTCCCCTACCTCTTTCATATATTCATTCTTCACTCTCTTCTTAATCCGGCGCCAGCGTCATCTCCGTAGGTTTACCGTCAAATGCGAACTGATCTGTTCACCGCCCGTCGCTGGCAGCTTCAACATGTACGCTTAACTAGACGACGAACAGCTCGAGATCATTCTTCAAACCACGAATTTCTGTTAATTTTGCAGCGTGTACCGTTTTGCTGCACAGAATCTGACATGAAAATAGGATTGCAGTATGTTACGAAAATTCTGCACGCTGTTCATCTTCCAAAATTAGGTCCACGTGACCCTTCTTGTGCTTCCCTGTAGACACTGAATGTTATGGCGGCCAACCGATGTCAGTGGCTTTAATGCTGTCAGTTTCTAACCAGATTGTCTAAGTGATGGAGGTGGAAGCACCTCGGATGTTTGTGGTGGGCTACCCTTAATTCTTCCTTCTCCTATTTTTATTCCTCTTTCCATTATATGGCCTTATTCAAATAAATTAGCATGGACGCACAACAACGATGCACTACTGTTCTCATCTGGTGTTACTGTCAGTGATGATTTTAAGGAAAAAACGAAGACAAGCCAATAGTTATAAAGTAATGAGGTGGACTGGTGTGCAGTTTGAGTGGGCAGTGCATATTCCACACGCGTACTTTCTACCTCATGTGAGAATACATGTCATGCTAGGTGCTTCCCCCTGTAATTATTCTCCCTCCTTAAGACCCTGAAAAGTCGAATCAACTTTGAGTATAGGAGAGAGGTGCCCTTAAGACCCTGAAAAGTCGAATCAACTTTGAGTATAGGAGAGAGGTGGTGAGAAATAGCCTTGCAGTGAGACAACTGAGCGCAGACTATGATTGTATGAGAAGAACAGTCGTTATAAACTCGTTATTGAAGTACTCAATAGAAAACTACATATATGCAATATCCCTCTATAGGTTTTAAATCTGCGTAAAATACGGCGAAGTTTCGAGATACTAGAGGCTTTCACCATTTGACTAACAAAAGGACCTGCTTTTTGTAATGTGAGTAGTATAGTTGACCACGTGACCACAGTTTTGAGGAATTGCTTATTTTTGGAAACGCCGGATCACGATTCCTCGATAGTGGTTCCTTGTGTGCGCGCATGGACCAATCAGCATTGAAAAATGTCACGATTCCTTTACAACCACCTGAAACTGACTCCTGTCTAGTTTTGTGGTATACGAAGAAAACAAGAATAGACAACATTCTCTTTTTCATCGTGGATACAATCACAACACAATAGAGCTGAAAATCGGGTGATGCTAATGTGGTCCAGAAATAGAATCTGTGGTGTTTGAGGCCCAAATATATAAAAAATCTCATTTTTTGCATTTCTACTGATTAGATGTTCACTTTGTTGGTAAACCGTTTGAGTATCGCCGTTCAACATGATTATGGTGTCTCCGCGGTCTGGACAGAATGCATTGATCTTATCCAAACCAAGGTAGGTGAGTTAATTTTTCGAACTTGAGATTGTTTGCCCACCCCACCTTTTCAATTCTTTCGTTTTTGGCAAGAAATCCAGGCCATAGCACAGGCAAACAGGAAAGAATGTTTTCAAGGAACTCGAATAACTAGATTAACTAATGTTCTGCCTTCTGTCGTTTACGAAGAAGGCATATGTTTGTTGAAATATAATTGAACCAGTTCGTGTCAGCGAGTTCAGACGTTGTCCACGAGAAGTAGCCACCAACGACATCGGAGAGAACAATGACCATAACTTTATTGTGGAGTGGAATCTTGAGATATCATTGGAGATTTCATGCTGCAAGTGAGGGCTGAGAAGTCCAGAAACAGGGTCTATAGTACATATCACTGTACGGGTCGTCAACGTTTCCTCATTGTGCATTATGGTATATCCGAAAGATAGAATACTGATACAGCTAAACCACCTTAACTGATGGAGTGTTGGAAAAAAAACAAACGTTAATACGACACGAGAGCAAAGCGAATGCACACCAGTTTTGATTGTCTATCTTGGTGTTAGACATCTGGCAGGTTCGTATATCAATGAATGAAAGGTCTATAGGGTCATCTGAAAATGAAAGGAGGAACCCTACTTAGACGTGATAAACTACTCATTAGGTCGAGGAAATTTTCTGACAGCCCACAACCGGTCTCGCCCCTCTTGGGGCTCATCGGATAGACGCGGTCCCCAAGTTTCCGTCAATCTTATGTTCTACTTGAACTTGGATTGGACAGATTAGGAGAAATACACTCATTTGTGTAGCAGTTTGGTTTCGACAGGAGATTCACCTGAAACCCAGCTGAATCTCTCTTTTTATGGTGTCTGGAATCAAAGACCAAAGCTGTGATCTTTTAATGGGAATTTCAAACACGCAAAAGAGAAGTATTTTTTATTTTGTGGACTTTATATATGGGCCTAATATGGATCGAGGATTCTATACCGGACCAGAACCAGTATCCGGTGAGTTGTACAATTACTGTCATAGAACCGGGAATTGACGCAGAACAACACTAGGATATTGTGTTCCACAAGTGGGTAAGGAACTCTGCCCAACATCAGAAATTGGCTCTTCTCCTGTCGCATACTTAGTTTACCACCTGACTATGCTTGCTTGCCATAGTGTACTGGTAATTCCCTTTAACAACTTGAACAGCATCGTTGTCGAGTTACCTGGGAAAGATCTACTCAAGCAATAACCTGGCTTGTACGGAGGCAACAATCTGAGGAAGTGTACTACGTCAAAGAAGCAAAAGATATCATGCTATGGAAAACGGGAAATACTAGCTCGTTCTAAGGAACGAATTAGACTCATTTTGAACGCCGGATGCATCATTGTATTGCATACTGTCACAGTAATCTGGTAGTTTGACTACTATTTTAAGCGATAAATTTTCAAAAGTAATCAAATAATTTATCGGAACGTTAGGAAGTAGTAATAACAACGGGATTTGCATACCTGCGCGTCTTGCTTCAGAACAGACGCAATTCCCTCAGTTCAAGTTATTTGGTGACCGTGGAACATCTATCAAACCGGTGTTTACAATCGGACATATCGATTTGTTTCTTCTCGGTGAAGGAGAACCACTTCCTACGCCATAATCCTTTACTGTCAAAGTGAACGATATTAACCTGCTGTTGTTCTTCAAAAGACTTGAGGTCGAATGTTTTGTTAAACAAAAACGTTTTTCTTAGTAGTTCTGAAGTTGATCGGGTCTTGTTACTGCACAGCAAAGGAAAAAAATATGCCGAAGTAGCACAGTAAACACTATTTTCCCCGAAACAGCATTTGCGGCATAGACACGTGACACAGTCAGCCAAATATACCCATCTTACGCGCCATTTAACATACCTAGTTTGTCCACAACTAATGTTACGTCTATGGAAATGCTGTCTGTCATTTGTTGCACCACGTTTTTTGTCGTGTAAAATATTTTTAGAGCATCCAATACAGTCCATATTATGAATGATTTTTTAAAATACCAACCAAAACGTACGTGAAGTTGCGACGTGGGGTGAGGGCCCAAAACTTGAATAAATTCTCCCTAGGCACTGAAAAATATTTGTGTCCAGCCATGGTCCTCAAGCATAGGCACCTGTTTGAAATATAACACCGTCATCATATGGTTGTATTTGTTGACTAAGGCGGACTGTTTGGTGGCAGACTTTGTATAACCACTTGGTTATACACCATCTTTGGGTTGTATTCAAGTTTTGCGTAAATATCGGTAGTTTGTTTGTCTGGACTGCCCTTAATACCCGGGTTTCCAGTTGAGTGTCTCCTCAAATGTTGTTCAAATTTGTGTTTCATGTTGCTCATGCTTTTACGGCGGTCCAGCCTGCCCATGATCTTAACTTGTCTGCATAGTGGTGTAAATTGCAGCTCATGTGTGGCGCCTGAAGTGCCATAAAGACTAATAGCTTTCACCAATGTTCCCAAAAAATTCCACTTTAACATGTTTTGTTAAACGGTCAAGCGGTCTGTTTGTGCTTCTCCATTTATCCAAGACGGATATCCTCACTTCAGCGAAATACTCAAACAGCTTATTTTTATGTCATTGCTATCCTGCATTCCGTTCTACACGGAATCATTCATGATTCTGTAAGCTAAAACGTACAGATAGAAGAATTTCCAGGGTACCTGTCACTCTCAACTCGTTTTTCTGGAACCCTGCTTGGGAAAATCGCCTCGAACGTTGTTCGCCAACCTTATCAGTTGGACCAGGTTTTTATACAATGAATCTCCTGCTTATTCCGCCTCTCTTTTATGCAATATAGACAGTCCTCTGATCGGTGATGGTCACATTCGAGACACTTTGCTCATGACTTTAGGGCACCCATTGTCTTACACAGACTATACATGTAGGCTTAAACAGCTGACTGGTCTAAGAGCATTTTGTAGATACTCAACATATAACATGACGTTTCACCAATTTCATGCATGTAAAATTTCACTGGGCTGTAAATCTCGTGTTAACTTCGTCCGTTGACCAGCAGGTGATTCCGATAGCATTTTTCACACTACAGTCGTACATTCGTTCTAGACATCTCTCTGGCAACTCACTCATTTCTGATAGTTTGTCACTATTTGTAACGGCTCAGTAAGGTAGATTAGGCAAGTCAAAGCATCAGACTCACACAGATGGATGAAAATTTTCTTCACTTTACAGAATTTACAACATAGAATCTTGCACCGTAAACATCGAATCTACTCAGAATTTTCGATTGATTGATTTTCCGCCAAATCACTTCTGATCCCCCGTGACATGTCTAAAAACAAACCGTTCTGAGTGGATGTCAGGGGACGGAGAAGACCGACCTGAATGATGTTCGGAAAGATTAGTCGAGTAACTTGCAGAAACTCCCAGGCACATTGTCAGTATTCTTCTGTTACAGTCACGTCGCTGAACTTGTTTGAAAGGAGGAAAGTGATACAGTAGTACAATAACAGTGAAAATATTCCTCAAACAGAGATTGCCCAAAGCACGTGTTCATCTCTAGCAAAGTTCGCATTCTTGTGTTCTTTTTTCTGACCTTAAAATCTATCATTATTTTGCAACTGAGTGATCAGTCGTTAGTGAAATCAACAGCTAAGAAGATAAAATTCTCGACTGGTTCTTGTCACAGACCTTTGCAAGCAACACTTTCCTTCATGAGAAAGTGAAATCCCATTTACCGTTTCTTTCTGTTTGCATGCAACAAACACCGTTTTTCTATCCACTTTGCTCCGTATGTCGTTCCCAACCTTTTCCGACTCTCAACTCCTAGAACTGCTTGATGTATCTTTATAGGTTTCGTCTTGATATCGTTGCCCAAGGCTTCAACCACATTTCGGAAGAAGAAGAAAATTATACCAGAAGAGTTAGACTGCTGTCTTAACATGCGGTAAAATCTTCGAAAACATACTTGCACAAGTTGCTGCTGTCGATCTCAAGAGGTTTTCTTGGTTGTCTGTCGATATATATGGAGGTAACAAAGTAAAGTTTACATCTGAAGTTATGCTACTGCGGTGACCGCCTTCCAGTGTCCTTGAGAATCCTCGTTGCGCTACTATTTCACCTTATGATTTCATTATGCTTTGTTACCAGCTGGATGCATTGAACCTTGCTCAAAATCCTTTCTGGGAGAACGCATCACCATTACTGACTGTCAGACAAATAAGGCAGTTATTGTACCCACACCTAAGTCGTCACCACAGCCTATGGTGCTGGGCATGTGCCTAATTGTAAATCGATGCTGCGCACCCGAACACTTGTTTGCTACTGGGCTTATTGCGGATCAGTTTAAAGAAGCAGCAGCTGTAGGGGGCAGTGTGCTTCAAAGACGGGTGCACATGCGACCTCTTCTGAACATACAAAAAATGTTGTGCGCTGCAAACTGATAGACGTGGCCCCTCGAAACAAGTGATATATCGCTTTGTTGGTATAGGAGCCTCAAATTAACAGATTCTTCACCAGCTTTGACGTTCTCTGCGCCGACCTCTCCCATCACACTGCATTCAGAAATAACGTAAGTTCGAAGATAGGTAAGAACCCAAGTGAATTTCCTTGGATTGCAACTTGCACGTTCACTGTCGCATGTTCGGAGGCACGATGGTTTGATTTTTGAAAAAAATGGGTGACGTTATCAAGGCATCTAATTTACCTTGAATAATCCCTTCCCCAAAACAGAAGAATATAGTTGGTATAATTCGTCAGGACCAGTGGCTCGATATCGTTTGAGAGAAGACATAAAGTCCCAAATTTGCAGGGCCGGAGTTGGTTCCAGTTTCACGGTCCATATTTTTAACGCTGTTTAGGAACGTGAGTAAATAAAAGCAGGCCGCCACAGGAAATGTTATTCAGCATTCGGCTCAGTGAACGAAGTGCCGTTTTTCTTGAAGGTGGTCAGGCCCTTTGTGGATTCAGTCAGAGAAGATTTGCGAAGACCCATTGCGAAATCATTAGGAGCTCCAGGTCTCCACTGCTTTTTGCACTCTC